ATATATATTTTGGCAGGAAAAGACAGAGATCTAGATGACAGCAAGATTTTGCTACATGACCCACATGTTTGAAGCAAAATGGAACAGTGATTCACAGGATTATTTACTTTTTCAGGATGCAGCATAAAAAAAAAAAAGGCAAGCTAGAAACAGCATCAGTTTTCTTTAAACAGAACACACACATACCCTTACAGATAAACAGCACCATACATAAACATGATGCTGTCAATCTTCCATACTTGATCTCATGATTGACTGCTCTGACAAAGAGAATGAATGGATGAATAAAGGGAAACCACCCACTCTCAGCTGATCAGTCTGAACTCAAAAAATGCAGCTCTGACCCAAAATAATGATGACTCGGTCACCTTCCTAAAAGGAGCTAGTGGTCTACATTTAATTTGTAGTGACCAAATAGCTACAAGACAAAAATCTGACACAAAAAAAAGGCAAAATCTTAAAAAAATCCAAAGCTAGCAATGCAACTTCCTTATAACTCTTCCTTTTAAAAGGAAAACAAGCTCAAAATTATCTGCTTAGGCTAGCAGTCAACCTAATGGACTGAGAGAACAGGAATCATTCCTTGCCTGCTACACCTGCTGAAAAGGAGTTCAAGAGGTGTCCTATTGTCTACCAAAATCCTGCTGCAACCCTGTGTGTCACTAAATACAGTTTGCCTGAAAACAGGCTTTACAGCTTTCACTATACTGACCTGCTTCAATTATCCTATAGGAAACAATGAGGAAAAATGGCCCAAATTTATTTTCACAGGATGCAGTACCAAAAAAAATCTGATTAAGCCATTGAGACAGCTGAGGGATCTAAGCAGCAAGAAAAGTAACACACAGAAACCTCAGCAAAGTTTCCTTGGAACCATCCCTGTACTAGTTCAATTCATACCCATCTTCCACTACACCTTCACCAATCTTCCAGTTAGACATTGTTTGAGTAAAAGTGGTGAATCAACTTGAGTTTTAGACTCCAAGATGTGTTTCCAGGGCCACTGTGGTAAAAACCAACAGTTTCCACTACTTGTAAGCTAAATTAAGTTTGAGCTAAGTTATTTAGAAGGAAACCAGAGAGGACATTTTCACAACAAAATTACATTTAAAAGTTAAGAATGGACTCTGTGGGGTTCTCTTTGCTCACACGTACTTTCTCCATCTCCATCCTTATCAAATTCTTCAATCATGGCCCGTAGCTCCTCATCAGACATATTTTCACCCAATTCTCTAGCAACACGGCGCAGGTTTCTCAGACTGATTTTACCAGAGTCGTCATCATCAAACAGCTTGAATGCCTTCAGTATTTCCTCTTGGGGGTCTCTGTCCAATATCCAGTCTGTCACTGTAACAAGGATACTTAAGTTAGAGTGAAAAACTCAGAATGAGCTAAAGCAGACTGAGGCAATATGAAGAACTCACACTTCTCATTCCACCTGGTCTTTCATTTTTATGTATTTTAACTCAGTGTGCTTATTTGTTGGGCTGTTATCAGACTCCTCTTCTCTCTTTTCCCAAGATGAGATTCAACTTGGGATGCACCTGTTGCAGTGGAAAGCTACACAGCAACTCAGACACAGTCATGCTTCCAGCACACTTTTCAACTGGAATTAAAAGTACACACATGCCTCCTCTGTTCCCAACTCACCTTTCAGAAAAAAACATCAACTCCAAAAGTTGAAGACATGTCAATTTTTTTTATTTGATATGTTTTGATCAGGACACGAGAGAACACTGAAGCACAAAGTAATAAAGAACGTTCACACAGAACTTCTCTTTTAGATACACAGCCACACCTACAAAAACCCAAACAACCCTAAGCCCAGGGGTTATGAAAAGGAGGCTGCTATGCACTGCAAGATGTTAATTCTGAAAGGATTCATCAGCCTTTTATCACAAGCATTTGCCAGTACCTGTAACAGAAAAGACTAACTTGCCATGTAAAGTATTTTCTAGTAATTATTTCAGACCAAGCAGCCCTGATACACCTTCACATCTTTATACCTGCTAGTGTTGTATTGCAGGGCTTGCTATTTATGATTTCCATCAAGCCATCAGAAACACATCAGCACCACTTGTGCATGGAGAACCACTTAGCATCTGCTGCTGCCTGCAGATGGAACACCTGCTCTGCCTTACTGAGCCTGACAGGGAAAAATTATATTCAAGCTCATCTAAGCTCACTACAGCAATGCAGTTTATATGGTTACACAACTCCCTTGGTCTTGTTTTAAATGAAAATATTTAAAATTTAATACAACTACGCTGTGTGACAGTATTACATAATTTGAATCACTTACCCATATTCAACAGCTCTTCAGAGTTAAAGCTTCTACAGCCTGTTTTCCCTCAGCTTATTTTTTTACTATGCACCAATTGTACACAAAAGTATAAATTATGTGTAGTAACAAAAAAAAAAACTTCAAAGAAGCTTAAAACCCTCATCTTTAAAAATTCTGCAGATCACTAAAAAGTCTGTCAAACTGCACAAAACAGCATCTTCAAATCCCAATGAAATTCCACTGTTTTTAACAACAGTTGAAAATCCTTGAAGTAGAATATTTTAACATCTGCTTCTATTTCTCTTATCTTTGTTACATATGAAATCTGCTTACAGTTTGCCCATGTATACATTCCTTCCCGTGAAACTCAGTGCCAAATATTTTTTCCACAGCAGGGATAAGAATCTTACAAAATCTATAAACAACACAAGAATATCTACATTTTAAATTACTGTTTATTTCTCTGTGTAAGTTTGAAGAAGATTAGACTGAGTATACTCTCTTTTCACTGTGGCTATCACTCATCTCTACACTCAATGTTCAGAATACAAACATTTCTTTTCCTCTACTGCAGACTTTTATTTAGAAAAATATAAAATGACATGTCCCACTTCTATTTCTTAATACTACCAGATAACTAAAAAAGCACATAAAACACTGCTTACAAACTGTAGCTGCTACTATACTCTAAATTCTCTAAATGTACATAAACACATACCAACTTCATTAAAATCCTCAAAGGTGATCTTGCCTGTTGCTTCTCGATCATAATCCTTCAGTATTTTCAGTACATCAGCTTTTTTCACATCAAAACCCAAGGCTCTCATTGCCACCTTTTGGAATAAAATGGAAGTGCAACAGTATGTGAAGATGAAAATACAGCTCTAACAGGTTTCTTTGTGTTTTTCAGTATTGACCATCTTGCTCAAAAAACAAGGTGTTTATCAATGGTTCAGCAACAATAATAAAATTAATAAAAGAAAAAAGCTTTGGACAGAAATATTGCTTAAAACTACTATTAGTAAATAGAACATCAATTTACAGTGAAAATACCACCCTCTGAATTTTCAGGGATTTTAAAGACTGGGCCAAATACTCCTTAGGGCAAGCAGATTTATTCTCCTCACTTCAAAAAAACATTTCAAGTACCCACCCTTTTTCAAAGATAAAAATGAAAATCATTCTTCAAATTCTTCTTCTTCAGTATTCATACTAAGTGTGTATATGACTACAGCTTTACAAGTCCTCTTACAAGTGACTTTTCTGCTTTTCCAGTGAACAATGCAAACAAACCTGTATTTTATTTTTCCATTAGGTTAGGAGTACAAGTTTCCCATTGCAAATGACATGGCAATTTTCCAGCACACAATACCTTGACTTCATCAAAATGATGAACATATGCTAAACTAGAAGTGGAAAACCACAATCCTACTGGATGTAGCAATTCAAAAATCTATGCTATATCCTGATTTTGTAGAGGAGGAGAAGTTTTTTTCCTTTGTGTATTTCTGTTCTTCCACAGTATTATTTTCAGGGCCACAAAGTTTAATTAGACAGCTAAGAACCACCTTTGCCAGTAATCTGGACAGCTGGGAATTGAAAGTGTGTCACAACTGGAAAAAAGTTGTGGCCTCAGTACTACCCCCCTCTCTGTGGCTTCCAGCAAAGATAAAATACTGAACTCTGAAATAAAGAGAATTGCTATACCACAGACACTCCTGTAACAGCAGTTAGAGTTTTTTCTTCCCCTCTGTATTTGGTGGAGGCAGAACGTGGGGCCAGCAGGTTGGACTAGGTATTCCTTCCCAAAAGACCCTCACCCAGCATGTGACAGAAACACCAGCCTCTCCAAAGCCACTCCTTGTTCTTGATGCAGCAGGATTAGAATAAAAATTCCTTGAAGAGCTGAAGGGACTTTAATAAATCTCAGGCAGTACTTTTAGAGGCCTGTGGACAGGAGGACTCACTAGGAAAGGCTGCCATCCCAGCCTCCCTCTCCTGACAGCATTTCCTTGGGAAAGGCAGCAGCTGCTGAGCCTCCCACACACAGAGCAGAGAGCACATCCCATTCCTGCAATCCACAGGTTCTCTGCTGAAAAATGCAAGAGGGCAAGCTCTGCCTTGTAGTCAACACTTCTACAAATCTGGTTTACAGATTTTAGCTACCAGCTGTGGAATTTCACAACACCAAGCTTTGTACATTGCTTTTAAAAAGAACCAAACAGCCTTTCAAGAGCTCCTCTTAGTCATCTGTCCAAGCTAAACCCCGTGGAGCAATCAGAGCAGTGTTGTGCAGGATGCTGCAGCAGTTCTGCTGCTGTGTAGTGTGGGAAGAAAAACCTCCCTTGCACTATTGTCCCTTCCCCCCACCCTCAAACAGCCTCACTCCTTTAGATCTCCAACATGGAGCATCTTTTAAAGACACAGCCAACATCTTAAAAACTCAGTAAGAAACACATACATATTATCTGCCATAAAACTGTTTAAATGAAAAAATCTTTTACCTTTAATTCATGATAATTTATTGCTCTATCTTTGTCTGTATCAAACAACTCAAAGGCATCTTTAATTTCTTGCTTCTGTTCCTCAGTCAGCTCTCTTCTTTTCTTCTTTTTAGTTTTGTCAACTGAAAGCTCATTCCTACAGAACAAGAAAGAAATTGTGATTTTTTTTCTACTGGGAAAATACCACTGTAGATAACATTTTTCCAGCAAGAATAAACTCACCATAATTCCACAGGTCACTACCTATTCTACTGAACCTTTTCTTGTCCTCTCAGTTTAAAATAGCACATGAAATAGATAATTCTCTTAAGAAAGCTGAATGAAACCTCCACTCCCCCACCTAAAAACAAAACCACCACAGGCATTTTGGTTAATAAGTAACACCACCAACTGAAAAAAAAGAGGGCAGAAAAAACACCAGTTAAAAAAGAATACTGGATATTACAAACCAGGTTAGGAGTTGAAATGAGACAACCCCTGAACTTCTAAACTGTAGTTTAGAACAGAGAATTTTGAGACAGGCCACTGGAGGCTTAACTAGTCCAGACAGCTGGGTTGTCTGGCTACCAAAGTGGGTATTAGGTGCCACAAATCGGCTTTGTTGCCCGTGACAGTTCTTAGATAAATGGAATTTACAGATTTTTTAATAATCCTTAAATCACACACACTGTCCCAAAGACTTTTTGCTCCATTTTGGTGTATACAAAAGAGACAAACACCCCCTGAATCAACAGATCTTGCTCAAAGACAGCACTCTTTTCCTTGGCTGGTCTAGAAACATTATTAAATTTCCAGGTAACAGAAAATAAATTATTCATATACTGGGAACAATGGCTGAAAAAATCTATAAAGGATGGCACTGATAATTCGGGCCAGGCTAGTCCAGGGTAAAAATGTGTGCTGTGCCACCTACCCTAAGATGTACTAAAATTACTGATGGATGAATAGCAAACTGCTTTTCAAGGATATTTATTTTCCAAGCCTCCTGCAATGAGCTGTTTCTTCTTCTCATTTGTTCGGGGTTTGCCAATTTTAATCAAAACTCAGCATTAAACACACAGCTGGGATTTAGCTTTCAACAACCACTGAAGTTACACTAGTAAAAACTCCAAATATAGGCCAAAAAAAGTGCAAGCTGCACTAGCAGGACTTACCTCCTACCACAATATCTTCAAACAGTGACACTTCCTTAGCAGACAAATTGGGACAACATGATTTCACACAGGCTTTGGATTACTACAGCTTTTGGAAGGACTAAAATAACTCTGAGCTGACTACATCATTAGCACTGGGAGAGCAGCTCAGACCCTGAGGGATCAGAGACAAAGGAACCACAAAGGCTTTAAGGAACTGAGATACAATGAAAGTCTTACCAACTTCAGCTGTAATGGGAAAAAAAATGGAGCAACAAATGGAAGAACTACACACGGTTTCAAGCTGAAGAGTGCCTGTGAGAATGGTTTAATGCCTTACACAAATTACACACTTGACTTCAAGGGTATCACTGACTATAGTGATTTGACTTCTAGTCTAAATTTCAGCTAAACATAACTGGCATTCTTGGACCTTCGGATCATCACTGGTTAACAGAGAACAACACAAGTGGTTGCCCACATCCACTCATCCCTTCTGACCACTTCTCACTTTTGGCACAACCGGAGCTTTCCTGCCTCCTGTAAATAGAACCCATCCCCCTGGGAGGGGGCTGTCATTACATTGTAAAAGTTTAACTTGTACAACTGCAGAGCAGCTCAGACCCTTTTTGTCAGCTGCGATGATGAAATCCGTTTAGAGGTCTGCAAGCAGATTAAGGCTGAAGTCTTCTGGAAGAGCCACCTGGCTACTCCAATGTTGGCTCAGGGCTTAGCACGGGTTTTCTTTCTCAAAAAGATGCAACAGGAATTGAATTTTGGTAGTTTATTGCTACTTCTTCTACAACCACCTTTACCACATGAAACATGAAGTTCGTAGACGTGAAATTACGGCTCACATTCACCACGTAAGTATATAAATCACGGCTGAAGACACAGATTTGCCAGGCGTAGAATTCCCCAGCCAGAACCCTTTACCCAAGTTACCGAATCGCAGTTAAAAAGTCAACACAAGTCTCAGCAGCCTCTCCGAACGCTTATTAAAAGGCATTTTGATGGTGT